GGGCTAAATATATAAACTTTGGAGCAGGAGTGGGGACCATGCCACAGGTTCCCCACCCCTACTTTGGAGTCATCAACATAGAAATAATTGAAACCATTACACCTGATCAAATCACCAAATAATCATGAAAAGAGAAAAAAGAAAGCCTAGGACTGAGTCCTCTTGTATACATATACATAGGGAACAGTATGAGGGTGACGATTCTGCAAAGGAGACTGAGAAGTCAGAGAGGTAGGAGAAAAGGGAGAACAATGTCATGAAAATCCAAGGAAGAGAGAAGATGTGGAATATAAGGAGGGCAGTCAGGAGTGTCAGTTAGAAAGGTAAAGAAGGATGAGAACTGAGAAAAGTCAACTAAGAAAATGTTTAATCTGAGAATGAGTATGAAGAGTTAATGGGAGGTAAGAAATAAGAAGCAGTGATTGTAGATAGCTCATTCTAGGTTAAGGATAACCTCCCTTTCCTACCTTACAGGCATTGTTCTTTATTTTTCTCCTTTCCCTTCATGGCTCTCTGTCTTATTAACTCTGAGATATTACTCTTGAGTTAAATACTCCCCACTCCTCTTTGTCTGGAAGCTGTCCACTAATTACTACATTCTCTGCCATTAATTTCAATTTTCTATTTCTCTGATCAAATCTGATGAAATTGAATATAGAAATTTAGTATCTACCAGCCTAGATGGGAAAGAAGGTCTCATGTAAATGGCTCTTTACAACAAATAATTAATAAAAACTTACTTTGATATTTTGATTTGTGCCCTTGTATTAGTGCAGATAACAACCCTTTCCTATGTCCAACTCTAGATATGTGATCATATTTTCATTCTGTATCTTTCAAAAAAAATTCTTCATATAAGATCTGCCAAGTATGCTAGAGGCCTTGATGTGATTCTTGTACTATTACAAGCATAACTTTTCTGACTCTTATGTGACCTCACTTCATTTATGTCTTTATTGTATAATCATTGAGAGAAAGTAATCTTTGATAATGTGCTGTCCTTAGACCTACTTTGGGGCTTTTCATTATTCTAATTTCACTGAATCCTGGAAAAATACAAAGCCTTTTCAGTGAACTCCTTAGCCACTTGCTAGAGATGGGCCTAACCATTCGTGCTGGAAAGAAAAAAAAATAGATGAAAATTACATTATTTCCCAGCTTTATTAATACAGATGGACAGTTTCCCAGTCTGTTTTAGCTGCTTTGCATATTAGAAGTTTTCAAAGAGGAGGTAGCTTGAGCATTTATTCTGAAGGTAGGTCTCTAGTAGGGGGTGCATTTTTACCAATAGGATCTTAGATTAGAGCTAAAAAGATCCTTAGATCCTATCTAATTCAAATGTTTTACATGTGGGGAAACTGAAACCCAGAGAGTTTGAGTGACTTGTCCAATGTTACATAGAGAGTAAGTTGCAGGGCCCTGGTTTTCAAAGCCAGGTCCTTTGACTACAAGTTAAACCTTTCTACAGTGAAAGGCCTGCATCTTGAAACACCCAGGTTCAGGGTAGAAGAGAGGAAAAGGCAGAGGATATATCTACCTCTCAATATTTAAAGGTGAATAATACAATTGGATCTCAGTTGCTTGGGGTGGGGGAAGGTGGGTTGCTAGGCCTTGATTGCAGTTTATCTTAAGGCCACAGGAGAAGGAGAATGGAGATAGATCCTTTTAATGGCTTTCCTCAAGACTTAGTACCTTAGATTGCCAACCTCTTAGTATTTTGCCTAGTGTCTTTCACATCAGAGCTTCTAAGAGACAAATATGAGGGTCAGCAATTTTAGTCTCTTGCTTGTCGGATTGGTCTCCTCTCTTTGATTATACCATCAGGGAACTGCTAGGACTGACTTTTGAGGCCCAGGTGGCTATGGCATGGGCTAGAAGTTTCCAGAATGGAAAAGTGTAGCAAAGGAAGGTAGTAGAATTTAGATCATAGCCAACTTGTTGCACACTTGATTTATGGATCCGAGGGTCCCCAAAGCAGACATTTTTTGACTTTTTCAAATGGGAAATCATTAAGCTATTAGTCCATCAATGAGTTGGGTGCAGAGTTGAATCAGGAGAAATTGTACTCTTGAACAGTTTTACTATTTGAAGTCATATCATACTCAGGTCTACTCCAATCTTTCTTATAAGCTCTCTAATTACTAATAACCATCTTAGACATAGGTTTTACATTTTACATACATGAGAGGTAAACAGTCTATCCTTATTGAGTCCCTTGTAATTGGTCATTGGTATGTACCTTATATTTCTCTTGGCTCTTGTATGTCAAATCTTCTATTGAGTTCAGTTTTTTTTTTATAACAAAGTCCTGAAAGTCTGACAATTCATTAAGTATCCTTTATTTTTCCCATTCAGAATTATGCTTAGCTTTGCTGGGTATGATATTTTTGGCCAGAAGCTCAGCTCTTTTGCTCTTTGATATATAGTGTTCCAAGATCTGAGATCTTTTAGTGTTGCTACTGCTAGGTCTTGTGTGATTCTAATTGTGGTACGCCATATATAAGTTGTTTTTTTCTTGTTGCTCTTAATATTTTGTCCTTGATCTGGGAATTTTGGAATTTGATCATAATATTCCTCCTACCCTCCCTCCCCAAGATGGTGTGAAATCTGATATAGGCTCTACATATACATTTCTATTAAACATATTTTCACATTAGTCATGTTATAAAAAAGAATTAGAAGCAATAGGAGGAACCACAAGAAAGAAGAAACAAAACAAAACAGAAGAAAAAAAGGAGCAAATAGTATGTTTCAATCTAACAGGTTTACTCTTGATCTGGACAGGAACAGAGACATAATGAGGGGTTAACAAGTTTATTCTTCTTCTCAATTGGTTGCTAATAATGGGATCACCAACCCCTACACCTTCCCCTAATTACTCTTCTCACAGGGACAGGCAAGAGCACATCTCCTATAGGATCCCCTAAGTCTCTATGGGGGCCAATCAAGACAAGCACACACATTCACAAATCCTCCCAAGCCTTGATGGAGGCTGATCAAGGCACACACAGCATTCCAGCTTGTGCATTCTCCCCTAAGCCTCAATGGGGGCTGTTTGAAGCAAGCGCAACATTACACTGTCACATTTCCCCCAAGCCTTGATAGGGGCAGGTCAAGGCACACACAGCTTTCAGGGGCATATTCCCCAAATCCTCCACTTAATGACCATTGCTCACTTGATTTATAGAGGAACACACAAAGAAGGCAATTTGCCAGCAATAGCCTCACAAGTTTACAATAACTTTGACTGACATCATGATGACTTAGCACAGCACAAGTGCAGTAGATGTTTACAATTTAAGCACAAATGTTTACATTATCTCATCGTTATATCTCACTGCACGGACTCAGTAGAAATTATTTACTAGCCTTCAGCCTGGGAACTAATAGATTGTTATGGCCATGGATCCTGGGAACTATTATCTAAAAAAGAATAACAAAATCCACTTTACATATACTCTTATTTTAAATAGTAGTTGCCAAATCTTGTATATAATGTTAACTATATTTCATTGAATTCTTTCTTTCTGGCTGTGTGCAGTATTTTTCCTTTGATTTTGGTGATGACATTTCTGGGAGTTTTCCATTTGCCATTTATTTCAGTAGGTTACTAGTGTATTCTTCCTAATACTCTCTGATTATTCTCATTTATTATTTCTTGAAGTATGATATTCAGCTTTTTGTTTGGTCATGGTTTGGGGGGAAAACCAGTGATTTTCTTTTATTTTTTTTCTAGCCTTTTGTTTTTGTTCTAATATTTCTTGTCTCCTGGAGTCATTGAGTATTTTAATTTCCAGAAGATCTGTTACTTGTGCAATGTTTTCTACCTTCTTTTCCAAATTATACATTTTCCTTCCAATTCTTTCCTCTAGAGTTATTTTATTTATGATTTTATTTTATTTTATTTAATTGCTTTATTTATTCCAAGTACTAATATAATTCTTGTGGCCAAGCTGTATTATTATTATTATTATTATTATTATTATTTTTGAAGCTCTGATTATAGTTTAGGAATTACTGCCTTATTCTGGTTGTACATGTTAGTCATCTCTTGATTCATAATATTTCTTCATAGTATTCATTGTCTTCTTACTCATAACTCCAATCTCAGTCTCTGATTTGGGATTTTGTACCAGGCCCAAGCTTTGCTTCCTTTTCCATTGCCCAGAACTTTCATCTAAAATGGTATAGTTTTGGTCCCTCTGAAATGATTCTGGTTTGTATTGGTAGGATCCTGGCTTGTTGACCTACTTTTGTTCTGTTTTTTTTAGCCAGAATTCATGTGGAAGAACTGGATTTTCATATTGCCATCTTTAAAAGGAAATGATCTTGTTTAAATGCTTTTCACACTCATTGATGTGTTTAGTTCACATTGATATATTTTTTTCCTCTTTTGAATTTTGACTCCAAAAAGTGACCTTGAAATGTCAGATTTGTCAAGTGTCAGAATTTGTCAGTTTGCCAAATGAACTTTTATTAAGAGTGAAAGTCCTGCCTTTTTTTTTTGTCTTTATCTTTGGAAGATCAATTAATGAATGTGTGCCTTTTATTAAGAGGAAGACAGAGTGAGTTCTATAGCCTACTTTATACTATAAGTTTATCATACATAAAACTGTATTGTAGATAATATCTTTTGGTAGATTTTATTTTTTCACAGTGACTGTCTTCAGCTCCATTTATGATAGGTTGTCTTGTTAGTATGATGGCAAGGTTGGGAAATTCTAACTTATTTTGGAGAAATGATGAGAATGTACCTTGGAATCAGCTTCCTTTTTTTTTTTATTAAACAAATTTATGTAACTTGGCTTTAATTTTTTATATTTGGAAAGTAAAAGACCATATTTGTTAACAGCTCTTTTCTAAGTATTCTTTAGCTTAATAATCTTCATAATTAGATAAATTTAACATTATTTTAGAGGTTCTCAGAAGAAAATAGACTTTGATATTCGGTTCCTTACATTTTCTTTGATTATATTTAATGACTTTCATTTTTTCTTTAGCTTCATAATGAAGATGATAATTCAGAATCACCTGCTGTTGAGCCACCATCACCTTCAACACAGACAGCACGAACTTCTTCTGGACCTATACTTGAACCTGAGGCTTCTCCTCCACCTTACAGTAGCATTACTGTGGAAGCAGCTGCAACTGCAGGTAATTTAAGAATTTTTATTTTATCTCCGATTAGGTATATTTAGCTTTTATGAGACAGGGGAAATCTATGCATGTATATATAATCCCATTTTTTAAAAAAAGATTTTATTGGTAGTTGGTGGTTGCATAACTTTTTCTGCTGTATACTTAGGATAATAATTGGTTGGTTTGAAGCTACGAATTTTTGAGTTTATTACTGTTTGCAACTCTTTTGCTTTACTTCTCTGACTGTATCTTTTTCCAAAAAAGAAACCACTTAATATGTTGATTGTGTATCTGGTTGTTCTTTCTGTTGCAACTTTGTGGCATTTCATTTATGATGGTCACAGGAAATTTAACAGTATAAGTGATATCTAGCAAGGCACCTGAGTGCTATGGGTAGCATAGAACATGCTATCATACTTTCCTTTCCCTAAAGCCGTACCGTCTGGATTATTCTATTTTTGTAATTTTTTTCAGAATTTTCCCATTTTGTGTATTTGTCAAAAAATTATTTACTATTTTCAATCTTTATCCCAGACAATATTCTGTGTAGAATAATTCTATTTTTCCATCAGATTGTCTTACTTTCATTGTCAAATCTCTCTTAAAAATCATCTCCTTTTACTTTCCCTGACTGACTCATTGCCTAAATGCTTGGACCTTTGCTTGTTCATAATTTTGCTTTCTTAGTTGTTATACTTGCTCTATATGTATGAGAGCTGAAAAAGTTTAGTTAAGTCATAATTGACATATAGTCCTTTAAAATTTGCAAAACACTTATAGTAATTACTCCCATTTTCCAGAAGGAAAGACTTCTGTGATAAAGTACCAGAAAATATTGGCTCAGGAGCTAGAGTACCTAGATTTAAATCCCCTGACCTTTTGTAAGTCATTTTTACCCCTTCATACTTCAGTTTCTTATCTGTAAAACAAGAAGGTTAAATTAGATAGGGAAAGGCCTTCCAACTCTATGATTCTGAACTTCCTGAGAGAAGAGATGTATCTAACCTCACATGGAGAGTGTTGTGATATATCTAACCTCACACAGTCTGAGTTTGAACAAAAATCTTCAATGCGTATTGCTTCCATGTCTTGTTAATCTGCATACATCGTTATTGCTTGTCTTTGACTAGGCCTCTTTATTTGCTAGCTATAAAACCTGGCACCTGTCAGGTTTAAGGATTTAAGGATTGCTTTTTTGTCTGTGGTAGCAAAATATTTTTCTTAAAATTTTATAGTTATCCATGCTAAATATTCTTCTTTATGTTGCAGAATTTTTTCCTCATACTGGGGCTTAGTGGAAAGAGTGTTGAATTTGGCCGAGTGTGGTGGAATACTCCTGCAATCCCCCGCTCCTGGGGAAGCTGAGGCTGGCAGAACTCTTGAGATTGGGAGTGCAAAAGCTGCAGAAAGTTTTGCCTATCAGTTACCCACACTAAGTTCTGCATTAGTATGGTGAGCCCCCAGGAAAGGTGCTGGTTGCCTAAGGAAGGACAAGCTGACCTAGATTAGAAATGGAGCACGTGAAAGTTCTCATGCTGATTAGAGTGGGATTGTGCCTGTTAGTAGTCCTGCACTTCTAGCTGATGCCAGATAGGTAGAACCTAGTGCTTATGTTGTTGGTGGTGGGGCTTTTTAAAAATTGTTTTGGATTTGTAGGTAGAGGATCTGGGTTTGAATCCTGGCTCTTCTACTTGCTACTTGAGGACCTTGGACAAGTTATTTTATCTTTCTGGACTTTAGTTTTCTCAATTACAACATCAAGTGGTTGAATTAGTTAACCTTAAAGGTTCTTTCTAGCTCTAAATTGGTGAATCTATAAACATGGTTTTAATTTAACTTTCTCTGATAATACCATAAAGTTGATTTTCAGGTCACCTTGAATAGAGAGAAACCTTTTCAACTCTTTTGAAGTCATTGTGGTTTGGATGATGGTAAATGCTTATTTAAAGTCCTGTATTCTCAATTCCATTACATTGGCATAGAATATATCACATTACTTTATCCAAGGATGATTATGAATCTTAAATGCTGCATATTTGTAATGATAGTAAAAATTGCTGATTATATATAATATATACATCTATCAACAATATCTATACTTATTCTTCTTTTTCATTCTTGATGTGTTAAGAACTTCTGAGTCTGAGTTGGTGGCATTTTTATACTGAAGAAAGAATAATTTAAAAAAAAAAGAAGAAAAGAAAAGAATAAAGTCTGGAAAAGTAGGGTTAAATCGTCCTGCTGTTTCCAACACATTCCTTATGGCATAATCTCAAATGTTTTTCTCTTAGTCCATTTTAGGAAAAATGTCAAAGGTTTGTTTTTTTTTTCTTTGACATTTGTTTTGTATGTTGTTTCTGCTCATCCTTCCTTTCTCAATTTTATTTTAACCAAACCTTTTTTGATTATACCTATACTCTTTAGTTTTAGTTTTTGTTTTTAATTTAATGATCCATTACAATATTCATTTAGTAGTACCTTTTTTTTTTTAAAGATAAGCAAAATGAATACTTTTGGACTTCTTAGGGCTAAATGTTCTTACAGAGTTGTTTATAAATCTGGAACTTATTGTTGAGTCTTGACCCCTTTCGGGGTTTTCTTGAGAGAGATACTGGAGTGGTTTGCTGCTTCCTTTGCCATTTTACAGATGAGAAACTGAGGCAAACAGGGTTAAATGACTTGCCCAGGGTCACACAGCTAGTAAGTGTCTGTCTGGATTTAAACTCAGGTCTTCCTGACTCCAGGGCCAGCACTCTATCCACTATGACATCAAACTGCCCCACTAAGTCTGGAACCAGTTTTATTTTAATAACTCAGGTTTTGGTTGATTCATTGCTTTTCTTTTCACAATTTTATTTTTGTATTCTTTCATTGTTTTTTTTCCTCCCTAAATTTAGCTCCAAAAATTAGTTTATCCCCAAACTACTAAGCATATTTTATTTTGTAAATATCTTTTAGGTGATTGCAGTAATATTTTTAGAACAGACAGAATTAAAAGTGGCAGTAACCTTCATTCATTTGACTACTAAAGTACGTTTCAGGGAAGCACTAATTAGTAGGAGCTTTAAAATAATGTGAGTAAATAAAAAACTGACATTCTCCCTAATATGAGCACCTGATGAAAATTTTGATACATTTATTTTCCCAACCCCCACTCCCTCACTCCCATGCACAATTTGCTGTTATATTTTAGGGATTGATTGCCATTCTGTGCTGATCACTCAGGAAATGTCCCCGAAAGCAGGAATCATAGTCTTCTAGATTACTCTAAAATTGACATAATGCTTTGTGCCTGGGTCATTGGATAGTTGTTGTAGACAAACTAGGAACATACACTTCTGTAGATCTGTGATCTGATAGATGAAAGTACTTCTTCCATTGGTGCAGTTCACAACTCAATCACACCTTTTTACCTTATATGATTTTTGTTTGTGTCCTTCCAAAACTCCTCCATAGATCTCTCCCCAGAAGATTGTAAATATAATTGAGATCATGATTTCCAAGCATTGTTTTATTATTGTTACAATTACTGTTATAATTGTCCTTTCACAAAAGGTAGGCTCAGAATCAAAATTATGATGGAAATTTCTGGTTTTACTATATGGCATAAAGTACTGTTGGTATGGTGAGGTAGTAAGTTTAGAATGAAAAACTCATTGTTCAGTAGTAAGGTAGGGTTGGTCAAGTTAACTTCTTAAGTTCCTTTCTGTTGAACAATTTAACACTTCTGTGCCTGAATTTACAGTCATTTAAAAAAAAAGGAATTGTAAACTACCATTACATTATTAAAAGAGTAGAACCTTGTGGATTTGTACAGTGCATTTTCTGAAGCATTTGATTCTTAGAATTTCCTAATAAGATAGAAGGAAAGCAGGTGGTAAAATAAAACCATATGCTTTTTAACATGCTGAAGTGATTTTATGGTTTTTTTTTCTTTTTTTTAGGCAATTGAGGTTAAGTGACTTGCCCAGGGTCACATAGCTAGTAAGTAAGTGTCAAATGTCTGGTGTGAGGCCAGATTTGAACTCAGGTCCTCCTGACTCCAGGGCTCTAGCCACTGTGCCACCTAGATGCCTTTGATTTTATGGTTTTTTAGTTGTCATTCCCCCTTCCCCTTCCTTTCCCTCAGTCGATTATATTTCATCATACCTAACAAGAAAGATCAGGGATATTATCCTCATAAGATGTCCACTTCAAGGAATATACCTTACTTTTGAGAATGAGCGATGAGAGAATGAGAATGAGCCTCCTCAAATGATAAACACCAATTGTGTCTGTTATATTTTCAAATTTGGGTTTTTATGAGTAAATTGTAGTGAGATTACCATGAGGGTCACAGTCTTTTGAGTCTCCTCAGACTAATGTACGGGTACTGACACATTAACATATAGTAATACCTAAGCTCTAGAAATCTACTTGACTATTTTATTTTATTTTAGTTATCCCTTCCACATTGTGACTTTCTCCATCATGGTTTGTATATATCTATATCTATCTATCTATCTATCTATCTATATATGTGGTCAGGATAAGAACTTAAATGGGATTTTTTTGGAGTTTTGTGGAAGCCTTAGACAACACATGAAGGCCAGTAGATGACAAAGAAAAAGTTTAGAAACACAGAAATGCATAATTTGTAGTACTGTATGATATCAACATATTTTATCTTTTAATACCATAAATATACACAATTTCTTTTTTAAAATTAAAATAAGTAAAAAGTTAAAGTTTGTGAAAAGAAGATGAAAGCCAAGCAGATGACACACAAAGACCAGTATTTTTACTTAACATTGACCTACATGTAGTCTATGACCAAATGCTTAACCCAAATTTTGCAATAAAGTACTGTAAATATTCCATAAAAGGAGAAGAAAAAAATCAGACTTCTCCTCTAGTCTGAAGGGAGAGCCAAAAAGTTTTACGCAGATTTTCCGGATCATGGGAGCTCTGTGTCCCTAATCCCCTGCGATGTGGAATGGATAACTGTTATTTGGTACTTCTTCTTCCTTTCCTCCTTTTTATTTTTGCAGTCTAACTTGTTACCTCATCATTCATCTGAAACTGCTCTTTCCAAAGTTACTGGTTGTCTCTTAAATTGCCATTTAGTCCTCATTGTTCTTGACCTCTTTGCAGCCTTTGACACTGTTAGTGACCCTTTTCTCTTTAATACTCTCTTCTCTCTAGGTTCCTGTGATACTACTCCTATAGCCCAGTTTTCCTGTCTCTTTAGACTAGTCCTCAATCTCTTTTGCTGGATCTTGATTTGGGTCACTCCTGCTAAAACAACCATCAAACAGTTATAAGGAAACTAAAGCCCAAAGACAATACAACTAATTATTGGCAAAAATGAAACCAGAGTACAGGCCTCTTAGCTCTCAGTCTGGTGTTATTTTTGCTATGCCCATAATACTTACTAATATATAGGATGCTGCAAAGATAATGGCACATTTTATAATTGAAAAATGGATGGGGTGAAGTGCTTCTGGCATCTACTTTGTTTTTCATGCCTAAGATCTTAAAGTAAAAAGTCTAACACAGTTTTTACAGATATTTAAATATCATAATATCTCTTTGGAAAAGTTAACATATAATAGCTGTTGTATATAATTTTTTGTATATAGGCACTACTTGATTTTTGAAATAATTCTTTCCTAGAAACACTAATTCAACAGGTATTTATTAAATATTAATGTATATGTTTTACATAATAAACTATGCTAGATATTGGGCCCCATTTGGTCTTAGAAATCTAGGAAGAGGAGATAAAGCAATGTAAGGTAGACTATTTTAAGGTGCAGTCAGAATTCATAAGGAGAGGATGAATCACTTCTGGATGGAAAGACAAGGGAGGATGTAACATTTGTGGTAGTTTGGATTTTAGCTGGTAAGATAGAAAGTGGGTGTCATCTCATATGTAGAGAATAACATGAAGAAAGGTATACAGTTAGGAAGATTTGGAATGTTTTCAAGCACATAGGCCAGTTTGGCTAGAATGTAGACTATGTGAGCAAGAGTCCTGTGAGATAAGGCTGCAAAAGTAGGTTGAAATTAAATTATGGAAGGGTTTGAATATCAGACTAAAGAGTATAGATTTTGTTCAATACTTGGTGATGGGTCATTGAAGATTTTTCAGTAATAGAGTATCATGATCAAAGTTGTACATTAGGAAAATGAAATAGCATTTTTATAGACTGGATTGGAGGAGGATAGGCTGTAGGATATTACTGGAAAGCAGAAGGGATTGGAGAGATCATTTAGTCCAACTCCTTTATCTTTTAGATAAAGACCCTTAGCTGTAGACCACACAAGTTGCCTAACGTTACAGTTAATGAATGGTAGAGCTGAAGTTTCCTTGCTTCCCAGTCTAGTATACTTTCTATTGCATCACGCTGCCTCTTTTATGGTAGTAGCAGTAGACTTGGAAAGCTTTAAAATAACTGTAAAATAGCTTTACAGATTAAAAAAAAAATTCAACTTTAAATGATTTTAGTTCCTTTTCCCCTTGGGCTACATAGCTATGTAGATAATTTTTGTAAATTATCATTGATGTGGAATTGAACCATGTACAAAAATGATTTCACATACTTTGCCTTTCATGTTTATCTTTTTTCTTTTTCTTCAGAAACAGAAACTCACAGCGAATTTTATCCTGTGCCACCACCCTACAGTGTAGCTACCTCTCTTCCTACGTACGATGAAGCAGAGAAGGCCAAAGCTGCTGCAATGGCAGCTGCTGCAGCAGAAACATCTCTGAGAGTAAGAAAAATAATTCTCCCTTTCTAGAAATGCAGTTTTTGTTTGCCTTTGGCCATTCTGTCTCTCCTGCCTGGAATAGAATTGCCCTATCCTCCAGCTATCTTTAACGTTTGAATCCTTCCTTTTTTCCAGGATACCTTCTTTTATCCAGCTTGTGAGATCATTTCTTCTGTTTGAGAGTTCTCAGCACTTTTTCTGGACTCCTCCTTTGCCCTTATCACATTCTTTCTTGTATAATAGTTTTTAGTGCATGTTTCTTACTTCCCATATTATATTTTAAACATAATGATATTATTTTTATATTTTCAGCACCTATTGTAATGGATGCCTTGTATGATAAAATCATTTGACTTTGGATGGCATTAAGGAAATAAACAAGGGCAATCCATCCTTGTTTAGATCCATATTAGAGTTGAAGGGTAAATAAATAGCTCGTGTGATTTTAAGAATCTAACCTGATTAGGTCAAATATTCTAACACTATCATTATTAAAGAACACCTAAGTTCCTATGTGTGATGCACTGCCCAGAGTTGTAGAAGGAGTTAGATACCAATCTATCCCCTAGTAGTTTACCATTTGGATAGACAGTACATTGATATGGATGCACATTTATAGGATGCATAGAGATTAAAAATTTAATAGCTAGTAATATTACTAGTAATAGCTAGTAAGGTACGTATGTTATATGTAGTTGAAGAGAATGATCTCAGAAGTTAGTTCTAGCTCTGAATTGGTCAGAGTGGTGAATACTTTCATAATCCATTAAAACTTAGTGGTTGGAGAAGGTGAAATTTCAGGAGCTGTTTAAATGCGTAGTGAACTGGAGTGAGTTTTAGTAAAAGGTGGGATGTTGTAGTCATAAGGAGCTTTAGGGATTTGTGCTCAGGGTGAGCACAGGGAGTGGACTGTGTTACTGGAAAAGACAAATGAAACAAGACAGTCCAGGATGCTTTTGAAATGACCTTTTAAGAGCTTAGACTTAGGAAAATGCAAAATGACAACAGAATTATAATGTGTAATAGTTAAAGGAAGGATAAAATAACTTTGGCAATAGCTGGAGGATAAGCTAAAGGCAAGCCATCTGGTAAGGAGGAGGCTACAGTACTCTAGGCAAGAGAGGACAAGTTTATAGGACTTTGGTAGAGAAGAAAAGACAAATAAAGACTGTAGGTTTAAGTAAAAAAAAAAAGCAGCATAATTAGTTACCTAATTAGTTAGATAGCTGTAGGCTAATGATGATTCAAAGATCACTCTTGAATTCCTGACTTAGGGTGTGATAGTATTTCCTGTTGTGATGAAAAGTTTGGCACAGGGAATCAGTATCAAAGGAGTATATGAGGTTAGATGTGTTGGCCTTTATGTCCTAAGTTAATGATGAGATGGACAGTCAAAATATAAAATTCTGTGGGCTCATGATAAAAAATTTTGTGAGGGTGATAGGCTAGCTCTGTTGTTCTTTCTCCTTGATGATGGTGTCTCATGAGTCTAGTGATGGAAAGAAAAAAACAAAATAGTTCCTGCCCTCAAGATGCTTTGATTTTTCAGTGGGATGCAGCATGTACATAGACATATAAATACAAGGAATTTTGTAAGAGAGAAGGAGAACATTAACAACTGGGGTGATCAAAGAAAGCTTAATGGAGATTAGTAGCAGAGTCATGAAGAAAAATAAGGATTTTGAGAGATGGAGGTAGAGGGAGGAGGTATTGGGGAGGGGAGGTTAAGTGTGGGAATAGCCAATAATACAGTTTGGCTAGAATGTTTAATGTATGAAGGGGAATAAGCTGAAATAAATCTGGAAAGCTAGGTTAAAGGGCTTTAAGTGCCAGGCTGAGGAGTTTGTATTTTAACTTATAGACTAAAGGGAGCCTACTAAGTGTTTTTGACCAGGGCAGTGAAATGGTTAGACCTTCTGCCTTAAGGTGATTATTTTGGTAAGTGTGTGGAGGATGAATTGGAGAGGGGAGAGACTGAGAGGTTGTTTTGGCAGCTATATGGGAGAGTGAGAGATTAGAATCAAGGGAACCATTTAGGAACCCAAGCAACAACAGATCTTTGCCCAAACTAGGTTTAGTTGCAGCACTGAAGGGAAAGACAGAGGTGGATATGACAGATGTTATAGAGCTAGAAATCACAAGACTTGGAGAGTGATTGAATGTGGCAACTGAGGAAGAGAAAAAAGTTGAAGTATGATGACTCAGAGCTTATGAACTTGGATGATTAATAAATGTTTATTGAGTTGAATTGGATGACTTAGAAGGATAGCAGTACCTTCAACAAAGATTGGGAAGCTTATAAAATGATGGCAGCAGCACAAGGAAGACATTTGGTTATTCTCCATAGACAGGAAAAGTACCCATTTCTGACATATATTAGTGATGCCTCATCAGTTGTTCTGCTTCTTGAAGAGCCTTGAGCACTGATTATCTGAGATAGGTGTGGTTGTACTTAGGGTTGGACTGCTTGATTCTTGAAAAACATAGTTCCTTGGATATTTGAGCAAAGGATTTCATCCTTAGGAATGAAAGGATTTAATGATCATGTGTATGCATGTATATGAAAGATAGTCAATAAGCATTTATTAAGCAGCTATTACTAGTCAGGGACTGTGCTAAGTACTGGGAATACAATCCCTGTCCTCAAGGAGCTAACAATCTAATGGGGGAGACTACAAATTGAAGAGTATGTAGCGGAGGAGGGGCAATGTAAGAAGACTCAGGAGATGGGGTGGGGGATGGGGATAGGGTATGAAAGGTTTTGAATGCCAAACAGGATTTTGTGTTTGATCTTGGAGCCCTGGAAGTGATAGGAAACCACTGGATTATTGAGTTTGGGGGTGACATGGCCAGACCTGTGCTTTAAGGAAAGCACTTAGGTGGCTGAATGGAGGATAGGTTGGAGTGAAGAGACTTGTGGAAGACAGACCAACCAGCAGACTATTTCAAAAGTCCAAACATAGGGAGATTAGGGCCTGTATCAAGTTGGTGGCAGTGTGAGAGGGGAGAAGGAAACATATTAGAGAGTTGTTGCAAAAGTGTAAGTGACAGGCCTTGGCAACAGATTGGATGTAGGGGGTGAGAGATAGTGAGAAAATTAAAAATATTGCCTGTGCTGCAAGGTTGGGGGACTGGGAGGATGGTAATGCCCTTGGTAGTAATAGGAAAAGCTTTAGGGACAAAGATAATGAGTTCCATTTAAAATATGTTGAGTTTATTATATCTACTGGACATCCCCAATTTGAGATGTCTGAAGGGCAATTGGAGATGTGAGGCTGGAGGTCAGGTAAGGACTGGGTAGGTAGATTTTAGAATCATCAGCATAGAGAGCTGATGAAATTACCAAGTACAATAGTATAGGACAAGAAAAGCAGCCAGCACAAGAGCCCGGTGGGACATCCAAGGTTAGTGTGCTTGATCTGAATTACGATTCAGCAAAGGAGACTGAGCAGGAATGGTCCCCATGTAAGAGGAGAACCAGGAGAGAGTGTTGACCAGAAAATCTAGAAAGAAGAGCATATCAAAGAGCAGAGGGTGATCAACAGTGTCAAAAATTGTAGAGAAGTCAAGAATGAGGATTGAGAAAAGGCCACAAATTTGGCAGTTAGAGCATGGGTAACTTTGAAGAGTTTGTAAGGTTTGTAGGGGGTTAAGAAGAGTGAGAGGAGGAAAAGTGGAGACACCTGTATGTGGTAGACTACGTCATTAAGGAGTTTAGTTCACAAAGTCAGAAGAGAAATAGGGTAAAAGCAGGAATATAAAGTTCAAGTGAGGGCATTTTGAGGATGGAGAAACATGGGCATGTTTGTAAGCAGTAAGGAAGGATCCAGTAGAGAGAGAGAGAGCTAGAAGATAAGTCATCCAGGTGCTTGAATGCTGGTTCTCAGAAGAGATCTTTCTTCTGCAGGCACAGGCATTTGGATTTTAACAAATTCAAGCTAGGGAATTTGAGTTTAAACTAGGTCACTAGGACCCCTTCCATCTCCAAAAGTCTATGATTAATACACATTTTCTAGATTTATCTTTCATTGTTTTTTTCAATTACTATTCTACCCTAGAATGTTCATATTAATTTATGAGGTGGGGGCAAAGCAGTTTTGAGGAAGAAAATTTTAAAATTGAGCTAAGTTTGTCATTGAATTGTTTTTCAGTCATGTTTGAGTCTCTGTGACCTCATTTGGGGTTTCCTTGGCAGAGATACTGGAGTAGTTTGCTGTTTCTTTCTCCAACTTATTTTACAGATGAGGAACTGAGGCAAATAGGGTTAAGTGACTTGCCCAGGGTCACTTCTCAAGTAAGTGTCTGAGGCTGGATTTAAACTTACGGAAAGGAGTCTTCCTGACTCCAGCACTGGCACTCTATCCACTGTGCCACCTAGCTGCCCTACATTAGTACACCACAGTTTTTATTCAGAATTTTAAGATAAAGTAAATAATTTCCAAGTCTTACATCATAATCCCAAAATGAGAGAAGTGTCTGGTCTGTGTATGATGGGTAAAAAAGTAGTGCCTCAGCTATTCTTGAAAGTACTACTTTGGGAAGAATTTTCTAATTAAATTATGATGAAAGAATGTCTTGAGGTCTTATTCTTTCGAATCTTTGTGAGATCTAAGTCTACATTTTAAAAATCAATTATTCAAATGATCTGTTGATTGCATGGAGATACTTTGTATCAGTAAAAGTGACAGTGAGGCTGTTTTTAGTTTTAATAGCTTAATGCTATTATTTAGTAGTAACAGTTGTTCTTTGTGCTCAAAGAGGGCCAAAATGACATCACTATGTTGGGGTCAAGGTACAGTATCCACCTGTGGCTGATCAGACTACCAAAGGCTCTATCTACTACTAAGGCTCTATCACAGGTTGGGTACAAATAGTTCATATATGCTATTATCTATATAGCCTATGTCGTTATTTTTACACTTCTCTTAGATATCTTTTTTGAATAGTCTAGACATTGTATTGATCACATTAACCCCCCCCCAAAAAAAACAAACAAACAAAAA